ATGACCTGTAAGAACAAGTCCCACTAGAGTCCATTATGGAGACCTTAGCTTCACTTCAGAACCGGGATTGCCCATGGGCTGGTTCTGGGGAGCTGTGGTTTCTCCATGGAAGTACCTGATGGAATGAACCCCCTGTTTCAAGAGCAAAATAGAGAAGGTTTTTAGAGAGGGTGACAGATGCTCTTGAAGCTGCTTAGAAGCTGCAGAGTCTTTTGTCCACAGCTGTTTGCTATTTGTAATCACTGGCTGTTTGGTGGACACAGCTGCTATCCATGCCCGGGTGTATATATGGCCAGGATTTTGCTTCTCCTTCCAAAGTCTCCTCTTCCTACCTGGCTGTGTGCATCAGAGGGAACCAGCTAATGACAGACTGGTAAATGTGTAATGACTAGTTAGTTGTCTAAGGTGGGGGCAGGCAGAGAAGCCCTGGTTTATAGCATTTGCCAATTTTAATGGTGTGAAGACCATCACCAATACTGATCCATTTCAGAATACTACTCTCATGCCACCAAATGTGAATTTGGAAAATGCACAGTAGTGAGTTATGGTGAAGTATGTCCATCTTGCAAATATAACAGACATAAATCACCTTAAAGTCACCCAAAAAACCTAATGAAATGATTAGAAACGGTGGAATTTTATGTACTGCTCACCTTTGTTTTTAGTAGAATTCATTTGATAATTTATGTAATTTCTGGGTCTTTGTGGCTATGCTTACAAATCAACCACGAAGGTCCACAAGCCAGCTCAGGCACAGCAGTCTGGGCTAGATGGGATGAAGGAGAAAAAGATGAAATGAAAGGACTCCTTTAAACTCAAGAACGAATAGCCTCTGTGCTATGAGGCTTTGTCATTGTGTCCTTGGTGCCTCGGATGCCATGCATTCAGAGAAATGACACAGGTAATTTCAGTCCCAAGCTGGGTCTTTGGAGGAATTCATACTAGGCTTCAGGCCCACTCTACCATTTGCTGACTGTGTGACCTTGAGTAACCGCCCACCTCTCTTTGCTTAAGTTTCCAAGGACTCCAATAATAGTATCTGCTTCATAAGGTTGTGGTGAGAGTTGAATGAGGCAATAGGTTGAAGTACTTAGACCACTGGGTCCATAGTAGCCTCTCATAACGAAAGCTATGAGTTCTGTATTATACTTGGCACGATTCATTTTGAAATGCCTACAAATAGCCACAGGGAGGGCTGGGATAGCTCCAGAAATGAATTCATGCAGAGCCTTGATGGTAAAGACCATCTCTTTGTACGGCCTACCTGACTGCCATTTCAGCCTAGATTATTTATGTGACCTCAGGTTGGAGGGCAGGTGGAGTGTACAAATGGCCTTGTCCCACACACCTCCTGAAAAAAAAAAACTAGTCTCACCAGGCCTGAACTGAAAACACTAGTAATAAGAGTCAGAGAGATAGTTTAGGGGTTAAGGTGCTTGTTTTGCTTGTGGCTGATTCTAATTTAATCTTTAGCATTGAATGATCCCTTACACTGCCAGGAGTGATCCCCAGCCCAGAGCTAGGACAGTTCCCCAGAACTTCCAGTGTGACCCCTTCCTCTCCCACTCCAAAACACCCAAAAAACCTCACTCCCAAAATACAAGTAACACACTCTTTTTTTTTCTTTTTGAGTCACACCCCGGCAATGCACTGGCGTTACTCCTGGCTTTGCACTCAGGAATTACTCCTGGTGGTGCTCAGGGGACCATATGGGATGCTGGGAATCAAACCCTGGTTGACTACGTGCAAGGCAAACGCTCTACCCACTGTACTCTCGCTTCTCCCCCAACACACTCATTTCTTGCTGTTAAGTGCTGCCATTTCCCAAGACCCATTTTCCAGTGAAACTTCTCCTTAGAGGGTGAGTCATTTAGTTACTGTGTGAGTGAAGCTCCAGACGCTAGGACTCAGCCTAGGACAAACTTCTGAGAGTCTAAGAATGAGGACCCCTGGGTGGGTGTGGGGAGAGAAGCCATAAAGGGGCCCAAGGCCCTGAAGACACCTCCAGCAGGGCCCCTCTCTTTCCTCCATCTCCTGCCTCAGGCTGAGTAACTGCAGAAGCCAGTTCCCCACGGACTCTCCCTGCGCTGGACTCCTCAGCCTCTCATCCTGGATCAGACCCCACGCACTCTCAGGCCCATGCATCCCAGAGGAGGTGTGGACAAACCAGGTTCTGGCTCATCTCCCATCTGCCGTCTGCGGAACAGGCTCTGGTCTTACTGCCGGCCGCTGGATGGGTGACCTGGGGAGGTGAGCTCATGCCTCTGAGCCTCTGTCCCCCTGCACTGAGTGGGCGAGGCTGCCCCCAACACTGCAACTAGGAAGCTTGGAGCACTTCGCCTAGCACTCTTAGGGGCTGCTGTTTCCTCTTCCCTGTTCACTATGTTTCCTTTGTTCCTTTTTCTTCCATTTCTTTCAAAGCATGTGGCTATGGAGCAGAAGCTTCCCTTGGGAGCATCACAGGGGGAAAATCCGATATATTTTAGCCTCTTTTGAGGGATGGTGCTATTTGGGCCACACCAGCTATACTCAGGGCTTACTCCTGGTTCTGTTCTCAGGGATCACACCTGGTGGAGCCTGGAGGAACTATATGGTGCCAGGGATCAAACCCAGCTTGGCCATATGCCAGACAAACCCCTTTCTAGCCCTGCTACCATTTATTCTAGAAGTTTGCAGGCACTGCAAACAGTGGTTTGGACATAGAATTCCTAGTTCATCCTAGACTCTGTGTGTAGTCATTATACCTGGGTCCTCCCAAAGCGGTTCAGGACTCTAGGCACGGCAGGAATGGAGAGGTGAATTTGGCAGGAGTGCAAGCGTCCGGGAATGGTAACTATATTCTTCATTGAAATGTTGTTTGTTTATCTTTGAGAGGCCTCAGACTTCGAGGTCGTGGGTCTGAGGAGCTGGGAATGGGCCTGGGAGCCTGTGCTCCCTCAGTTTCAGTTCTGACTCTCCACCTGCCTGCTCACCCTGGTGGGGTGACCCAGGGGCTTCCTGGTGCCCTGGGAGAATGTCCTGATGCAACAAGCAGGTGTGCCCTTTGCTTGTGTCTTGGGGCTCTTATTCCCTGGCCCCATAGGGCACTCCCAGAAGACAATCTTCCGAGGGCCTGGCAATCCTGAGTGTGGAGAGGGAGGGGGCCTTATAAAATCCACTGACTGAAGGGCACAGGTGGGTTGTGCAGGCTGATGGCAGATTACCCAGTGTTGCGCAAAGGAGCTGTGTTTTAAATCCATTATTTTTGGAGGAGAAAAGAAAGCTTATGGCTAGTGGGGGGCATCCTGCCTAGGGTCTAAGTGCTCGCTGGGAGGCTGGCCAGGCTGCCACTGAGATGACTGAGGTGAGGAAATGGCCTGGAGAGCACCATTGTCCTATTCTTCGTTGGTGGGTGGTGGCGGCTCTGAACAGAGGCTAATGTCAGTGGGGTGTTGGTGCTGTGCCCCTCCCCCATTGAGAATGTGAGATGCTCCCTGCCTCCCACAGGACTGACTATAGGAACAGGAACAAGCACAGAACTATAGGGCCTTAACTGTGACCTGAGCAGATGAAGCTCACAAATAGGTGTGTTCTCTCAATAAACATGCAGCCTTGCAGGGCTCAGAAGAGGAAGCCGCCACCCGGCAGGGGGAAGTCAGGATTCCCATTATCTTCAAGAAGGAAACCAGGAATCCCTTCTCTCCACACTGCCATGCTGTGCCATGTCCATGAACACCCGTGTGTGTGTGTGTGTGTGTGTGTGTGTGTGTGTATGGGGTATGTGTGAGTGTGTACAAGGCAGTTCTGGGGACACTTCAGAAAGTAGAGGAAGGTTCTAAAGAGCCAGTCAACCTCCAGCAGCCCAGCTGTGGTTCCAGTGTGTGAGGGATCTAGCACCCAGTGGAGGATTTGCAGGATGCCACACTGCTCGGCCCCAGGTGAGAGAAAGATAAAGTCTGTCATTGAGGATGATCAAACTGCCTCAGGAGAGGAGGCCTCCCCAGAGGTGGGAGGCCATTGACCCTCTCTTCCCCATCCCAGAGCTTTTCCACATTTTTCAGCTGCATAGTCAACGGAGGGCAAGGAGGTTCAAGAAAGCACCAAAGATTTGGATTTCAGAGCAGGACAGGATGTTGCCAGCTGAGAGCAAATCCGTGGCACCTGGAAAGAGGGTTCATCATAGTCCACTCCCTCCCCAGTCCTGATTCAGCCCTGCATGAATGGCCTCTCCCCATTCAGGGCCTCCCCAGCCCAGGGCCTGCCCTTCCCAGAAAAGTCTCTCCATTCTCCTCCTGAGGCTGCTAGGAAGGTGTTGGCGTTGGATTCAGCTGCTCTGAATGGCTCTCTGAGCTGACTGGGCCCCCTTCCTGGGGTCTCACACTTTGCTGAGTAACTTGGAAATGGACCCCAGAGCCGAGGAAGGATGAACTCAGACGGTGTCTCTGTAGCCCCTCCCCAATAGTTCACACCACGGCTTCACTTGGGAGGCATCAGTGAAAGACATAAGGGGTAGACAAGGAACAAATGTGAGTCTCCTTTTCTTTTTTCTCTGTCACATCCAGGGGTGCTCAGAGCTTACCCTTGGCTCTGACCTCAGGGCTCTCTCCTGGGGGGCAGGGTCGGGGGCCATCTGAGGTACCAGGGATCAAACTTCGGTCAGTCACGTGCAAGGCAAGTACTTTCCCTGCTGTACCATCTCTCTAGCCCCAAGAAGCATTCTGATGGAATTCGATGAGCATGTTCTACAAAACCCTACTGACAAATGGGAACACGCGTCACACCAAAAGCTTGCATTGAATCACTGGATGTTTAACACACCTCCCCTCCCCCCCCACCCCCAACCCCACAGACAAACACGAAATACCACAAAGTACCTGAGACAAAAAAAGGGAAAGAAGAAAAGAGAGAAAAAATGAGAAGAATAAAAAAGGAAGTCTGGCGTCCTGGAATTCAAAGAGCCAAGTGATCCCAGTGTGTGTGTGTGTGTGTGTGTGTGTGTGTGTGTGTGTTTGTTTGGGGGGTGGAGGCCAAGGACTTCTGGGGGGTGTTCCAGCATGGCCTGATGCTCACAGCTCAGACTCGGCAGCGCAGACCTCTGTGGCCGTGATGGCGATGCCAATGGCAAGGCTGCCGTTGTCAGAGAAGAGCTGGGCCAGTGACGTGTTGAGCACCAGGCAGTCCCCGTCTGTGATGACCGAGTCCACGCACTCGAGAACCGAGCGGGGGGTGGCCTCCCATTTGAGGCGCCGATGGTTCCTGTTGAGCTCCAGGCGGTAGGTGAAGCAGTCGGCCTGCGTGGGGGTCCCGATCAGCATCATGGTGGCAAAGAACTGTGGGTGCCCTTCGTGCCGCTCCTGCTTCCTGAGCACCAGCAGGAAGTGATGGCCGAGGCAGGAGTGCAGGATGATCCAGTCCGCCGGCGCGGGCAGGTGCATGTCTGTGGCCAGGAAGACGATCTCGGCTCCCTGCAGAATGTCGACCCTGTGCATCTGCTGCAGGTGGGGCACCACCACCTCCAGGTGGCCCTCCCACTGGCAGGAGAACAGGGGGCACAGGCAGGGTGTCACCTCGGGGGCATGCAGCCCTGCTTCCTGGTGGTGGAGGTGGTGGGGCCGGGCATGGTGGTGGTGACGGCGGTGGTGGCGGTGGTGGTGGTGGTGGGTAAGGTGGTGAGGGGGGAAGCCGCCTTGCTCCGGGGCGCTCTGAGTGACAGCTCGTCTGCTGGAGACATACTGCAGGACAGAGAGAGACAAAGGTCAGTCAGTGGTGGGCCGGCAGAAGGCCACGGAGACTCCCTGTAAAAAGCAGACTTTGGGGCTCAAGGAGAGAATGCTTTCTTGCTTGCTTTTTGAAGGGGTGTGACCCTGATCAGTCTCAGGCGGCTCTGGGAGCACTCCTGGTGGTGTTGGGGTTGGGGGGGGGGGGCTTGTGATGCTGAGGATCATAATCGAGGCTCCAGGATCCAAAGAATGCTGCTGAGTCCGCAGTTTTCTTTCTTAAAAATTGAGAACCATGGGGCCAGAGACATAGTACTGTACTTAGGACATTTGCCTTGCATACAAACTATGTAGGTTCAATCCCCGCATCCCATAAGGTTCCCCAAGCCTGCCAGAAGTGAATCCTGAGTAACCAGAAGCAGAGCCAGAAGTAACCCCTGAGCACTGCCAGGTGTGGCTCAAAAGAACAACCAAACAAAAAAAAAAGAGAACCAGGGGCCTGAGAGACTGGACAGAGGGCAAGGTGTTAGCTTTGCACATGGCCAACCTGGGTTTCATTGCAGCACCCCATATGGTCCAGGTGTGATTCCTGAGCACGGAGACAGGAATAAACCCTGAGTATCGCCAGGCGTGACTTAGAAATGAAAGCAATTCTTTTACAATTTTATTTATTTATGTATTTATTTTTATTAAACCACCATGAGATACACAGTTACAAAGTTGTTCATGATTAGATTTTGGTCATACAATGTTCCAACACCCGTCCCTTCACTAGTGCACGTTTCTCAACACCACTGTCCCCAGTTTGACCTCCTGCCCACCAGCCTGCCTCTATGGCAGGCACTTTTCTTCTCTCTCTCTCTCTGTCTCTCTCTCTCTCTCTCTCTCTCTCTTTTCTTTTGGGTATTATAGTTTGCAATGCAGATACTGAAAGGTTATCAGGCATATCCCTTTACCTCCTTTCCACACTCAGTTCTTGTCCAGAGTGATCATTTCCAACTATCACTGTCAGAGTGTTCACTTCTCTATGCGAATTGCCCTCTGCCCCCAACTTGTCGCACACTCCCAACTGTGGCCCAATCCTCCTGGTTCTCAAGAAACAGTTCTTTTAAAATTATTAGGAAACACCAGGTTGTTTTCCAAGGTGGCAGCGCCATGTGGCCTTCCCATCGATTCTGAGTGAGGGTTCTGTTTCAATGAGTCTTTGTCAACACTTACTATTTTCTGTTTTGACACTTATTTGTAAAAGGCAAATTAATTATTTGGAGCAATTTGCTAAATGTAGATGCCAAAACATTGTAGATTTTCTCCTTGTCATTCCTTTAGTGGAGACTCTAAATATGCTCAACTGAAAATAGAAGCTCCTTTAAAAGAGTCTCCCAGCAAAAAAAACGATTTGAGATTTTTCTGAATCTAATTTACATAGGGGAAAATTTAAGCACAAAGTAAATGAGGGAAACTGCTTATACCTTGGAGAGTCTACACAGTTGGTACAGGAAAATGAAATATGCATACCTTTCTGGGTCACTAATGCCATCCTCAAGCAGTCTCATCTCCAGATAACACCTTAAGATTGTAAAAGTCCATTTTTTTTCAATTTTGATACCAATATTTTTTTCACAGCAATTGAGGTCAATGGACTTCCTCCCTATTTTATCATTGCTGTTATTTTTAGAATGAAATTTCAGCAATAGCTGACTTTTTGCCCTTTTAGTGTTTCCAGGGATTGTGCTATCACGGGTGCCCTTCTCTTGGCCTCTCAGGCAGCCCTGGGGAGCAGAGGGGTCTGTGTGCACCTGGGCCACTATCATAGAGGGCAGAGACTCATCTGGGATACCTGCCATACTGCATCCCAGGCACTCTTTTCATCTTTTTATTTTGGTTTAATATTTTATTTTGTTTGGGGGGGCTGGAGCGATAGCACAGCGGGTAGGGCATTTGCCTTGCATGCAGCCGACCTGGGTTTGATTCCTTCGCCTCTCTCGGAGAGCCCGGCAAGCTACTGAGAGTATCTCGCCCTCACAGCAAAGCCTAGCAAGCTACCCGTGACGTATTCGATATGCCAAAACACAGTAACAATTGTCACAATGGAGATGTTACTGAGCCCGCTCGAGCAAATCGATGAACAACGGGAGGACAGTGACAGATTAATTTTTATTTGGGTGGGGGGAGTTTCGGGGCCACAGCTGGCTGTGCGCTTACTCCTGCCTCTGTGCTTAGGGAATCACTCCTGGAGGGGCTCAGGGGTCATATGTGGTACCAGAGGTAGAACGAGGGCTGGCTATGTGCAAAGTTATAGCCAGGGGTTAAAAGGACTTAACCCCTGTCCTATTTATCCAGCCCTTTTTTAAAAATTAAAACTTAAAAAAATTAAATCACCATGAGATATGGTTACAAAGCTTTCATGATCAGGTTTCAGTCATACAATGCTCCACCAGTGCACATTTCCCACCACCAATATCCCTCGCATCCCTCCTACCAACCCCCACCCTTTCTCCAACCTGCCTCTATGGAAAGCACTTTTCTTCTTTTTCTCCATCCTTCCCTCCTTCTCTCCCTCCCTCTCTCCATCCATCCATCCATCCATCCATCCATCCATCCTTCCTTCTCTCTTCCTCTCCTCTCTCTCTCTCTCTCTCTCTCTCTCTCTCTCTCTCTCTCTCTCTCCCCATTTGGGCATCATGGTTTGCAATACAGATACTGAGAGGCCATCATGTTTGGTCCTTTACCCAGTTTCAACACACATCTCCCATCCATAGCGATTCCTTCCAACCATACATTGTCATAATGTTCCCTTCTCTCTCCCAGCTGTCCTCTCCCCCAGCCCTCGAGGCAGGCTTCCAACCATTCCTTCTGGCCCTTGTTCCAGCAACCTTTCCATACTGTATTGTTAATAAGGAGACATGCTTTCAACAGTGTATGTTTGGGGTACCAAGTTGCACCACTGAGGCCAAGGATCTTGCACAATTGTCCTGTGCAATCATGGGGTAGATGCACACCCTAGGTACACTGAAGGCAGGCTTCAGACTCACTGCCTTGAATAGCTTCCCAGGGGACTCGCCACTAGGAACCCTAAGAATTTTCTGACCTTTTGTTCTTCATGGCATTGTGCCTATGAGTGTCCTCAAAACCACCAGAAGCTGTGATCGCGTCTTCTGATTGGGTATTAGTAAATGTGTGAGTTTTTTTTTCCTGGGGCAGGGGCACACTCAGTGGTGCTCAGGGTTTAATCCTGGAAGTGTTCAGGGAATCATATACAGTGCTGGGAATCAAACCAGGTTCAGCCATGTTCAAGGCAATGCCACAACACCTGTACAATATCTCCAGGCTGACTGTACAATATTTGAGCTCCTGCTCCACGGAATTTTGCAGGCACTAGCAGACAGCCAAAGGCAAAGGAACTCCACAATGCTTGGAGTGGGTGGTACAGTCATTAATACACACACCATTAATTCTGTCACACTAACAAGGAGCCTCTCCCTCTCGCACAAACACTATGATTCAGATTCTTCAGTTGAAGAAACAATCAGCAGTGATTTCAGGTTACAAAGTGACTGAGGTTACCAAACTGGTAAAGAAAGGATGGGGATTCATTTCCTGGCTTCCCAACTCTGAACACAGAGGCCAACTGCATCCTACACCCCAGTTAGCCCTTCCTGCTGGACTGCCCCTCATGCTTCTACTTCTGCTGCGCTCAACCAGACCTGGTCTCTGATTCCCAAATGCGGTTCCCTCTTCTTCATGCCTCTGAGAAGCCTCCTCCCTTCCTTACTTAGCTTTTTGTTTCTGGAGGGGTGGTCCTGGGCAGCACATACCAGGTGCTGCTCAGGGCTTTCTCCTGGCTCTGTGCTCAGGGATGACTTGGTGGGATTCAGAGGAACATATGCTGTGCTACTGGCGATCAAACTGGAGTTGGTTGCATGCAAAGCAACCGCCTTTACTATCTCTCTGACCCTTTAGCCTTTGTTTTTGTTTTGTTTTTGGGTCACTCCTGGCGATGCACAGGGGTTCTCCTGGCTCTGTACTCAGGAATTAATACTGGCGGTGCTCAGGGGACTATATGGGATGCCGGGATTTGAACCTGGATTGGCCGCGTGCAAGGCAAACACCCTACCCGCTGTGCCGCTATGCTATTGCTCCAGCACCCTCCTCCCCCTTAGCCTCTATAATGTATCATGAGAGAAACATTTAGTTTGCCTATGGATGAAGAGACCGACAGAGAGAAGGTAAGTCACTTGCCCAAGTTGACACAGCCCCTCACAGGGTGCTTCTGGGGATGAAGCTCAGATTCGCTCAGGTACACACGGATGACTGAAGAGCAAAGTCACAGGTTGCTGTTTTGCTCCATTGCTGACTCCTTTAGAAGCCTTAATTAAGTCAGTTCCCCATCATCAAAGCACCTTCTCAAAGTCTACACTGGGAGCCTGGAGACCCATCCCACCACTGGTCTTGGCCTGAAGCCCCCATCCTGATGCTGACCGCTGAGATAGAACATCCCGATGTCCTCATCTCAGGAAAGGCTGCAGGGCTCGTCTCCACATGCCCCTCTCCAAGTGCATGCCCAGCTGCTGCTTCCTGTTCTGTGCAGACAGCAGCAGCTGTGTGAAAAGGAAAAGGAGGGAGGTGGGACGAAGCACCTTGGTCTCCCTCCAGCCTCCCTCCTATATACCTCCCACTCAGAGGTAAACCCAGCCATCGCTGCCCTTTGGGTACAGTCCTGGGGGAGGACTCGCCAGTGGGAATGTGCATCTGTACACACACATGTCTCCATCGCCACTCCTGGCCACCGCTTCTAGACTTGAGCTTTGAGGAGGAAGAGGGTGAGGGCTGAGCTGCTCTCAATCCATTAAACCCTTGGGCAAAATAATCTCCATTATGGAACGTGTCTGGAAATGCTGCACAGAGAAAGGTCCTGGTTGTCACCTCAGTAGCTGAAAACGATACGTTTAATATTCTAATAGCAGGGGACATGCGGGGTGCAGTGGGCTCTGGGAGCCACAGGCTGGGAGGCAGCA